GTGGCTTTCACATCAGGGGAGGCTATTCATGTTGATAGTCACATACAGTACTGTAACCTAGAAGAACATAAAATTTGACTATGTTTTGGGATTGATCAGTAGCTATCAATGTGAAAGCATAGAATGTCCTCTTCTGATGAGGAAGACAACTTGGGCATGATGTCCAAAACAAATGACATGGCAATAGCAATATGTGAAGTCATGTCAGTCCTTCAACCATATCCCCAAGAACATATAACTGTATTTTGAGATAGTAGGTATCAATAGGAAGGCACAGAATTATCTTTTCTGATGTGAAAGACAACTTGTGCATCATGTCAAAAACTAATGCTGCAGCAATGGCAATATGTGAGATCATGTCAATCCTTCAACCATATCCCCTTTGTAGTCTTTTGTAGTCTATCAGTAAACTTTGTAGTCTATGTCTAACTTTTTGTGTTGTAGTCTTTTTGTAGTTTGTTGGTAAACTTTGTAGTCTATGTCTAACTTTTTGTATTGTAGTCTTTTGTAGTTTGTTGGTAAACTTTGTAGTCTAAGTCCAACTTTTTGTGATATCTTGTAGTCTGTCAGTGTCAGTTTCCCTTTTAAGGCATGCACCTTCCTTTTTTGGTCATTTTTCCCACGATACAATAATTGTAGCCCTTTCTTTTAGCTTTCTAAATGTGTTGAAATCATGTTGTTTGGTTTTGTTTTCATGGAGAAAAACACAAAAAACAAAAAAAATGTAGCACTTTTCAAAATCTTTTACATCATGTCTCCACAACAGGAGCACTTCAGAACATAATTCAAACAGATTCAGGAAGCTACAGCATAGGACTACAACTTTTGTTTTTGACCATTTTTGGTAATTGATCATGTGACCACCATCCCAACACCCCATTAGATGGACCCTGACAGGTAGAATCATTCTTATCTTGTTTTTCTTCACTTTTTGGTCAAATAAGGTGAGCTTTTCTTTTGAGGTGGACCCTGAAGTGGACCCTAAAAGTAGTGCCTGACATCCCTTACACCATTTACATTTTTTCTGGCTTTTTTCTGATATTCTGGTTATTTTTTCATCAGAAACAAAGAAGTTTCCTTATTTGGATGTTGCTCTGAACCCTGAACAAAGTACCTGAACATCATCATCAACAGTGGGAACCATTTCTATTTTTTTCTGATTTTTTTGGTGATTATCTGGCTATCATTGGATAGATTACCATATTTGGAAATAGACCCTGAACCCTGAAAACAACCCAACATCATCACCACCATCCCCCAAATTTTCCTGATTTTTCGAGTATTTTTAGATAGATTACCATATTTGGATAGACCCTGGACCCTGAAAACAACCCAACATCATCATCACCATCCTCCAATTTTTCCTGATTTTTCGGGTATTTTCGGGTTATTTTTGGATAGATTACCATATTTGAACATAGCCCCTGGACCCTGAAAACAACCTAACATCATCACCCCATCCCCCAATTTTTCCTGATTTTTCGGGTATTTTCTGGCCATGTTTGGATAGATTACCATATTTGGACGGACCCTGAAAACAACCTACCATCATAACCACCATCCCCCATTTTTTTCTGATTTTTCTGCTATTTTTCCTTTAGATAAGCGCACATTTCCATATTTGGCAATGTGCCCTGGACCCTGAAAACAACCACATTTGGAAGTGCGCTTTTGGACCCTGAAAACAGTGAGCAAGCCATGGGAATCAGTGAGCACCAAGGCTGGCTCTAGGGTGCTCAGCAAGGCTACCTTCCTGATTAGGAAGGTTGGTCAATTGACTGCTGTGATGCATAGGTAGACTTAGTCAATAGACTATATCTCATACATAATTCTGGATGTACTGGCTGCTTCCTCGCATTCCTCCTACGTTCAGGTTGCACCATCAAGCAGTTCATTCAGGAGTGCGATATCTCCGCAGAAGAGATAGCGGAGTGCCTCGCATATCTGCAGATATCGAAGTCATTGGGTTCGTTGTCTATCACGGAAGATCACGAAAAGCATCTGCGCGTGACGGATGAGGTGCTCAGGCTGTTGACGTATACACCACCAGTCATCTATTCAGAAAAGGTTCTGGGCAGTGGGGACGACCAACTGGTCGAGAACACCCCATCAGAGATTATCTGTCCGAATCTCACGACCATCAAGCTGTGGGGATGCATTTCTGCCCAGGATGGAAAGGTCGCAGATATGATAGAGTCGAGATGGTTATCCAGGACCGAAGGTTGCCCCATCGTGCAACTCAGGACGGCGGCAATAGGGTTTTTTGCTGACACATGTCATACAGAGGCTTGGACTTGGTTGGAGGCGCTGAACTTAGACAGGTCAGGGATCACACATGTTCGACTGTGATGGTGGGGTCAATTTTTGTTATCTATACATGCCAAGATGCAGTCGCCCTGATTGACACTGACCAACGCCTGAGCTTGGACAGCTTGTGGCGAATACAAGAATTCTTGTTCATGGATCTTGTCGAGTGCGATGGTATATATGTGTCTGCACTGTATACTTAGTAGACAAGCATTAAAAAGGCATTGAACAAAAGGAAGTCCTTTGAATTTGAGGAGTGTTGACGGCAACTTCAACTTGTAATTACATGGTCACGGTCATAGTATGCATCTCAATCTCCGTTATGTATGATGCACCATCATGAATGCTGTTTGGCACCTATGTATCCTGCCATGCTTCAACTTTGCATCTGCCTATCAACACCGAGTTGAAATTTCAGCCACACTCAGTGGGTATTGTTGATCATTGGAGTTATGGCAAATGTTAGCGGGCCCTCGAGGTGAGCAAAACTTAATGCTTGACTAAACCATCCCCCAAGCTCTAACAGCGCGGCCAGCTCCCCATCTCTTTTATGTCAGTTTTAATCGACAACGATATCCGGGGGAGAGTTCAACAATGCTGCAGGAGACCATAATGGACTCGTCGTCAATATCTGTATGACCTTCCAAACGCTACAACGATACAGTGCTGATGGAAATCTTGATTTAACAGATCAGGGAAGGCAGATATACCCAGGCAACCAATTGGTTAGAAGGTCCTTGTCATGGAAGTTATTGAACTAAATGATCTTCCCTCCAAGCTATTGGCCGGTGGCAGCTAGTTGGACCATCTCCATCGAAGAGCGAGATCCATTCCTCTGCAGCAGTCGTGCTGGGATTGACTACACTCTTCCCACCATACTTACCGCCGAACCAGAATCCGAGGATCCCACCGATTCAGTCATTTCGTCCATGTTCGAGGTCTTCATCCCCCATCACTCCCAATGGCAGAAAGTCCGTATACGATACAAAGACGCATGGTCCGAGAAAACCGGGTCCGCTTCACTGCCCAAGGACACCTTGTTTCCCTTGCTCGAAGAACTATACTTGGAGAAAAGTTACTGGCTGGAACAGGACGATGTGGATCACATCACATCCACGATGCTCTCCGCACCACGACTTCATTCCATCAGTTGGCTGAGCCAGAAACCGTTCACAACACTCACCTTTCCCTGGGCACAGCTCACGCACTTCTGGCTGAGCCACATCATTTCGATGACTGTGGGTCTCCGCATCATCACATTCTGCCCGGGCCCAACCCAGGCCCTCAGCTCACATCTCTAGAGCTAATGCTCATTCTTCCTGTCCAAGTTACAATCACAAACAGCTCTGGCCCAATTGTTCACAACAATCTACAACGCCTCCATCTAAGCATGGTGGGCGACCTCGGAATTCTCTTTGACAAGCTTACGCTACCAGCTCTGAATGATCTTTTGCTCTCTGAAGTCCACTGGTCCTTTCCCAACATTACCCCTGTGTACATCAGCCACTGGCCACAATCCCAGTTCCTTGCATTCCTCCTTCGTTCTGTGTGCACCGTCAAACACCTCATTATACAAGAGTGCGATATCTCTGCGGAGGAGATGCTGGAGTGCCTTGCACACCCTCAAATATCAACATGGTTGGATTCGCTGTCCATCACAGAGGATCATCAAAGGCATTTATGCGTGACGGAGGAGGTGTTGAGGCAGTTGACGTATACCACCTTCACAGAAAAGGTTCTGCATAGTGGGGACGATCTGCCAGCGGAGGAGACCATTACTGAGACACTCTGTCTGAATCTCAGCACCATCAAGCTATGGGGATGCATTTCTGCCCAGGATGGGAGAGTGGCGGATATGGTTGAGTCGAGGTGGTCATCGGCTGAGAATTGCCCCGTTAAGCAATTGAAGATGGCGGTCATTGGGCTTTTCGCTAATGCATGTCATATGGAGGATTGGGCTCGGTTGCAGGCGTTGCACTGGAAGAGGTTTGGGATCACGTATCTTCGACTTTAATATGATGGTGCGTCTATTTTGATTTCTGTCATATGCATACGCGCACATGTTCGAAATTTAGGTTCCTCGTTGCGAGCTTTTGAAGTACATCCATCACCAGAAAAAAACTACTAGAGAGAACCCCATGCAATCTCTCTTGCAAATGAGCCAGTGCCAGGAGGAAAAGACCAATACATCCCAAGCCCATCAATGGCGTCTTGAGTGTCTCCCCTGTTCACCAATCCAGCATCCACCAGATCCAGTACAAAGATGGAGAGCCAGTATCGACATCCTTCACCCACCAGAGTGAACCTATACACATCCCTTTTCTTTGTAATCAAGACATCTAGAACCGTCGCCACACTACAGCCTTCACCAGCACCAACCACAGGAAGCGATTTGTGAAAGACGTTGTAGGCATCGTAATTGACCTGTTCCGTGTCAAGCATGACCATCACAAGATCGTTATCGTCCGGAGCGACGTCAATGTGGACCGAGGAAGTTGGTGATGTTTCGAGGTACATGGTCCAGTGGTTGGTGGGTTGTTGCCCGTCGCTACCAGAGTTGTCCTCGTTTGGGTGGGCGATGAAGTGGATGTGGAAGATGGGGAGGGGGAGGTTGGTTTTGGAGAATTGCCTGATTCCCCAGTGGTCGTTTACGGTGTTGAAGATGTGGTTTCGGACTTTTTCTTCGACCAAATTCGATGTTGGTGTGTTAAGAGGCATGGTATGGTTGTTCTGTGGAAAGTTTGCAAGTCGGCTTGAGTTTACATAAAACTTGAACAGAAACATAGTTACCTCAAGATACTTGAGTCTCAGGGTGATTCTTTGATGTTTTTGCGAAAAGACGAACTTTCATCAAGGGAGGACGAGGACTTCTTAGGAGTCATAATCCGCAAACCCGACCATGATTCATACACATGAGTCATCAAAGTCGCGACACCGAACGAGAAGAGGTCGACACTGAAATCTGGCTTTGAAAAAAAAGGGATGGTTGTTTGTCGGCGGAGGATCTCGATACCAGATCAAATCCATTCAGTTTCCTCTCTCCCAACGAGTCCTATCAGCTACAGAATATTGAAATCCTTCACATATGGTTCGCTCATTGCCTTGAAAATTTGTGACCCATTCACTAGAAGCGACTGTCTCAATGACCCGACTAATACTTCCTTCTGCCAAGACTCAAGACTCCAAGACTCTCAACCAAAGATTCCCAATGATGTCTCAACGTAATGTGACCCTCAAAGACTACGACGGGAATGTATCCAGTTGGACCTTCCAGTGGCCAAAATCCTGCAGCTTCTCCAATGGTTCACCCAGTTTCAGGCTTCTGGCAGTACGAAAACGCTACGGTCTCGACTCTCATGGACTCACTTCTACGCATGGCTACACAGAATAATCCAAACGGATGGCTCGTGGGTGATATTTGATTTGGACGAAACTATGCCTGGCCATCGTGGACCAAAAAAACTTGAGAGCGACTAGCGAAGCCTGGTCGATATATCATCTTGAAAGAAGGCTACTTATTGGTGTTGCACTTCATGGACTCACCATTCTTCGGGAGGGAAGTCCTATATCTGTAGGTTTGACGCAGGAAACATACCGACAGCGGGCGCTGACGGTTTCGAACACGCCGGAAGGGGTGAGTTCTCGATCCTACTATTCGTCAATGGGACTCAACAAAAACTACATAGAGACCCACAAATGGATATCGCGAACGTGCACAAGACCGTGACCAAAAATGTCTAATAACAGGTCTTGAATCATACACCTGGATGCGCAGCTCACATATTCCCTCGCACTCATCTTTCCGAAGCCCTCATCTCACCCCCGCCTTCCCCAACATAACCACTCTGAACTCAAAGTGGCTTCAAAAAAGATTCTACAAGCACATCACTGATCCCGGCGCACCCTCACTTGAAGCTCAAGTTGACCAACTCTAGGGAACTCTGGAATTTTAGGACGGCTACTGAATCACCGCATTTGTCCGTGACTTGGGCGATATCCACAGCTCATTCCTACACCTGGAACATATCTCAGATCCGCACATACGACCACTTGATATTCTATTCAGGGATCATTTCTTCCAATGCGTGTTGAGGAACATGAAGGGTGCAGGGGAGCCAACATGGGACTACGAAGATGCCTTGGGTGATGGTGGGTTTGACTTGTCGAGGGAAGATATTTGGGGAGATGCTGAAGGCAAAGGAAGGCTCGAGGTAGAGCTTTCTGACGGACTCTTTGGACACCAGTAGTTACTAGTGTAAGGGACAGACAGTGAACGTATCCTCATACAGTACTAGTAACTTCGAGGATATCCATCAAAGGCGCACCCCCCTCTCTCTGTCAAATTTGTCAAAGATCTAGAGAGCGTGTCATTATTGCAGGATATAGTATCAGCTAAGTAGTCAAACGCCACATTCAAGTCGACGTCGAAGAATCCAAAGAGGGAACAATATTTGTCAAACGAACATGCTCCACATAGACATCCGTCCCTCTCGTTCGCGTCTGCCCGCGGAGATCAGGCTTGAGAAGCACAACAAAACAGTGATTCCCAATTCTGAGAGAGTATGTGCGTATTGCGTGGAGTAGAGGTTGTGTCCCAAGTCCAACCTTTTTGAATCTCAACTTCCCTTCACATCATTCAAGCCCATGGAAACCCTGGCATTCCTCCTCACTGGAAACCTGAAATCAAGCACAACACCCTCAGCCGCACGCTGCGCCCACCCAGCATCGAGCACATTGATTATAACAGTGGAGGAAGGACTTTGCACGGCAACCACGGGATAGTGCTTCAACGTGTTCTGGTTACACCGGCGTACTGGTTGTGTATGAGCAATTGTGGCCTGTGAGTAGGCCTTAAGCAGGACTTGGTCATCACGCGCATCTGAGGGTGGGCATCTTAGATTGTAAAAGGGAAGCTCAAAATTCGACGGACGTACCTTTGTCACAAAGTTCTATGTTTGTAGTTGCAACTCCAGGCCATGTTAGACGAGGAGTGGAAAGGAGGAATCATGAGTGTGGTAATTGTTCCATATGCTTGTTGATTGAGTTGTCTAGGACGTTCACCTGTTCACTACCACCATAGGTCCAAACATTGCCTTCTTCGCCATGAACAAGCTTTAGACCCGCACCTACAGTGCGGCACTCGCTAACGCTCAGCCGTGCCTCTGGTGCTGGTCACAGCTTGCTGGGGGCAAGCCCCCTGGACCCCCTGGTACACATGTTTAATCCCAGTTTTGGTACACATTTTTTATCCCAGTTCATGTTTAATCCCACTTCTGGTACACATATTTAATCCCACTTTCAGTACACATAGTTAGACTTAAACCTGGACTTATACTACAGTACTCACTTCACTCAGTCATGCCTTGCCAGAGGCAAGTTGTCCCCCCAGCATACATGTCTGTTTCCAGTTAGTGATGTGCCAGGCCTGGCCCAAAGCCAGGCCTTCTTGGGCCATTGTCAAGGCCCAGCAAAGCCCAAAGCAAGGTCGTACCTCACTTTGGAGAGGTACAGTAACCTTGCATGCTCATAATCGTTGCCAGCACCATCCTGGCCGAAGTTTTCTCTGCCATGGCTTCAGGAGAATATGCTGGAACTAAAGTGACTTTGATACTGAACTTCACAGCAGCCTTGAGATGGTGTAAGTACTGGTTAAGACTGATAAATATTGGAATAGAAGAGAAATATTCAACCTCTTCTCTGAAAGTCTGCAAAAGTAGTGAGGTCAGTGATGAGTCCAAGCAAGTGTGAGATGCTTAGATACCTCATATGATGTTTCCAGATGGTATGCCTGAACCTTGATGTCCTAATTGTCCCAATGTGATGAGGAGCAGAGATAGGGGGTGCAGTGTTTGACATGGAGGTGCACTTGTAGAAATTTTGTTGTGGGTTCAAGACTAATTGATTGATTGTATGTGTTTTTTTGACTTTTGCCCATAAGCCAGCCTTGAGCCTTGCAAAAAGCTCAGGCTTGAGTATGGTCAAGCCTGAGCCACCCAAAGTCGGGCCATAGCCATGGCTTTCAGGCCAAGCCGGGCCTGCACATCACTGTAAATTCCAGTTCTGGTACACATCTCTAATCCCTATTTTGATACTTACACTTTATTTCACTTCATTTGAATTTTCAAAGATACACTTTACAGACAGTGCTTTCAGAGTAGGATGGAAAAGTGTGATTTTTTGTAAGCATGTGTGACACATGTAGTTTCCCTTTGAGGAATTGTCTGCCTCACACTGCCTATGCATCTTATCACCCTTCTGCTCAATCCCTCATCCCCTAATGCTATGGGGTTCAAAAT